CTGAATCTCAGTGTTCCTCAGTACTCGCTGCAAGATCCTCTGAGAGAAAGGTGCCCTCAAGTTTTGACTGCTACCACACAGTCTAGGCTCTCCCCCAATGAGCCCAGAACTGGGGTTCAGTTCAGTTGGAAGTGGGGTTGGAAGTGGGGTTCAGAGCAATCTGGAGCTTTTATCTCCTTCCAGCTAGGGCAAACCCGTGGCACAGTCGACACTCCATTCTCTGCGTGCAATGTGCGCACCTCTGGGACTTCCTTTTGCTGCTCCCCTGAGGTTCCGCCTTACAGCCCAGACTCCCTCCTTATGTGTCTGGGTCCCCAGGGTCTTGCCCATAACTGTTCAGGACAGTCCGGAGCTTTTATCTCCTTCCCAATAGGGAACACCAGCCAGGCACTCAGTCTCCGCCTCCTCTCCAGCTCTGTCCTCTCCGCGTGTGCAACTTGTCTCCGTACCTTAGGCTTTTACAGCTCCTCTGATTTTCCTTCTGGTTTTCTCTTTCCTTCTCGTTGTAGAATTTCCAGTCATTTGACTTTCCTGTAGTTCTGGGTAATGTCCATTTTGTATTTTAATTGTATTTTATTGAAATTGTTGTGTGAGGCTGCAGTTAGGTGTTTACCTATGCCACCATCTTGGTTTCTCTCTAATCTTATGCTTTTAAATAACAGTGTGTTTATTCTAATAACCAGAAAATTATTTCTAAATTTTTTTTATGGTAGAGCATAAAATTGGATCGTTGGTGATCATTTAAACATTATTTTTGAAAAGTAGTGTGGAATTATACTATTATAGTAGCTAAATTGCTAGCATGACATTGTTTCCCTACTTTTATAATATTTTCAATTTTCCCAAATAACACAATGCTACATATAGAATATGAGACTGAGAGTTAACATGAGAAAACACACACACACACACACACACACACACACACACAAATTATTCCTTTAAAAGTTGTCCACTTATGTTAAGAAATTGGTTTCTTGAAGAACACAGTTTTGGTCATTTAATGTTTTTAAAATATCAATAAATTTAGATTAGCCATAAATACACAGACATCAGAATTAAGAAATGTTTTGTACATGCATTTTTTCCTTTTATTGGTTTACCTTTCTTCTTATACATCTTTAACTTCCTACAGTTGGACTTCTCCACTGTTATTCCATTGGAACCCATTCTTTTAAAAATATATATATATATATTATCGATTTTTCACAGAAAGGAAGGGAAAGGAATAGAGAGCTAGAAACATTGATCAGCTGCCTCTTGCACACCTCCTAATGGTACATGCCCAAGGTACATGCCCTTGACAGGAATTGAACCTGGGACCCAGCAGTCCAGGATTGTGAGAAGGATGTCTCAGATTGGAGAGGGTGCAGGCTGGGCTGAGGGGACCCCCACCCCATGCACGATTTTGTGCACTGGGCCTCTAGTTATATAATAGTTTCCTAAGAAAGGATACATGAGACTGTAAGTGATTTTTTTCAGGCTAGTTTCCAGAATCATAGTACTTGAATAAACAGTATGGACATTTAAATTCAGATTCCTGATCTTGATTTCAGGATTACTGAAGCAGAATATTTGACAAAAGAACCTAGAAATCTTGCATTTTAATTTTTTATTATTTTAAAAAAGTTTTAAAGTAAATATGTTTTAAAATTTATATGTCCATTAAAACAACAGTGAGCTTCCACATCACACCTATTGGAATGGCTAGAAACATACACTGAGTAGCCATAGTATTATGATCTCTGAATGCATAATAATCTTGCCACTCAGTATATATATATTAGAGGCCTGGTGCATGAATTTGTGCATGGGTGGGTTCTGGCTAGCCTGGCCAGGGGGAGGGGACATGGGTGGTTGGCCAGCCTGCCTGCTGGTCAAGGTGACAATTTGCATATTGGCCTTTTATTATATAGAATATACACTGAGTGGCCAGATTATTATGCATTCATAGATTATAATAATCTGGCCACTCAGTGTATACTCTTAATACCAAATGTTGATGGGATATAGAGAAACTGAATCTCTCATGTAAAAGTGATGCAGCCATTCTATGAAGCAGTTTGCCAGTTTCTTATAAACATGTACTACCATACAATCCTGCTATTGCATTGTTGGGTCTTATCCCAAAGAAAATGTATGTCGACAAAAATCATATACAGATATATTCATAGCAGCTTTTACTTGCAATTGCCCCAAACTAGAAAGAAGCTAGATACCCTTCATTGTGTGTATGGATCAACATACACACAATGAATGATTACTACTCAGCAATGTAAAGGAGCAATTTATTGATATATACAACCCAGATGCTTCGCATGGGCACTATGCTGGATAAGAAACATAAATTTCAAAGGGTCGTATCTATATGATTCAATTTGTGTCCCAAAGTGGTAAAATCATTGTGATGGAGAAAAGATCATTGGTTTTTTAGAATTAGGGTGAAGACCAGGGTATGACAGTTAAAGGGTAACAGGAGGTTTCTTTGTAGTGTGGTAACACTTCCATATTTCAATTTTGTAATTTTAAAATGCCGTAGAATTGTATACCGGGAAGGGAGAGCAGGGGTGAAAATGTAATAACAGATGAAATTCAAATAAGGTCAATATTTGACATTTTACCAATGTCAATTCCCTGGTTTTGACATTATGCTCTGGTACATTATATGGTATCATACTGGGAGAAGTTAAATGAAGGCTACACAGGAGCACTTTCTGCAAGTTCTTGTGGGTGTTGAATTATTTCAAAATAAGAAGTTACTTAAAACGTATGCATGTTTCCCAGCCGGTGTGGCTCCATGGTTGAGCATTGACTCATTAACCAAGAGGTCACTAGTTCAATTCCCAGTCAGGACACATGCCCAGGTTCCGAGCTGGATCCCCAGTGTGGAGTGTGCAGGAGGCAGCTGGTCAGTGATACTCTCTCATCATTGATGTTTCTACCTCTTCCTCTTCCTCTCCCTTCCTCTCTGAAATCAATAAAAACGTATTTTAAAAAGTATGAATGTTCACCGTAGCAAGTGAAAATAGTGCTAAGATACATAAAGAAAACTAATAATGTTCACCTTTCTCCTCCCATAGTTCATATACCTGCCCAATTAATCTAGACTGGAATTATAGTAGTGGATATCTCTATTTCTCACATAATTTTAGTAAGAATGGATTTTACATTGCACAAAATAGTTTGGCATTTACCATGAGACTCTGTTTTCTTTTATAATTTAAAGTCAGAGCTTGATAGTGCCAATATGTGGGTCATCTCTGAGTCTGGTTTTATAATTGCTTTTGTCGTTTGACAGGTGTTTTTTTGGTTTTGTTTTGTTTTTGCTTTTGCTTTTCATGTGTCTCATAATTTCTTATTGAATGATGGACATTGTTAATAGACCAGTGGTTCTCCTTTTAGGCCCTTTAGTGTGAACATTGAGTTGAAGCACACAGGAGTTGAGCTGGATCTGGGTTTTGTTATAGCTGTGGTCACTGCCCGTGCATCATAGATTTCACATTGTTCTAGTCATAGGTTGCTGTTGCCTTATGCTCAGATGGAAGCCTAGGTGCTGGAGAGTTTTTCTCGGTGTTCATGCTTCACCCTCAGTTTTCAGTTGACTCTAGGTGCTTGAACTTCAGCGAATGCAGATGTTGCATTCTTGCCCTTCTTGCAGCAGGAGAATTCTGTTTCACAGTCTGGTGTTGGAGGACGAGGCGTTCTATGGCTCCATCTTAAGGCAGTCTCTGTGCTTTGGAGTGGGGCTTCTCGGAGTTCTTTCCCTGGTATCCAGACTCTCACTTGCATCTGTAGCAGGTGTTACATAGGACAGTGTCCTGCCCCACTCCCTCTTACAGGAGCTACCTAATAGTATTGGCCAAGATCTATACCTGCCTCTTACCCACAAATAGAGGGAGTTCTTGTTTCTCTGGTTCCCAGTGTGGTTTTCTTGTGCCCTGAGAGTTTTGCTGCCCCTTTTCAGCTACACATGGCTTTTGGTGTATTCACAGAAGGGTCTGTCACTGGGGGAGGGAAGAGGATTTTTCACCTTCTGTAGCAGCAGCCAGTTCCCTCCCACTACAGACTGCATGTATGCATCAGGGAGGGAATCTATCTCTGATCTCCTACCCTGCCCTTGATATTTCTCATGAGCACCTTGTGGAGATGTGTGGGAAAGAGCCTACCAGTAAATGCAAATCTCCATTTCTCCTTGAAGTCTTATCCTTTCTTGAAATTAAGACAGTTTTGTTTTCCTATGAGCTTAGCTCTCTAATGAGCTTGAGAAAAGTTATGACCTTGTGCTTTAATTCAGATTTTCATATTGGTAACATGCAGTTGTTCAAGCTTTTTGCATCCTAGGCATAGGTATTACATCTACTGTTGGATTTTGATAAATGTTGTTTGGTCATATTTAAGTAATTTATTTCTAGAAATATTTTTTAATTTTTTATTTATGGATATAAAATTTTTATTGAGTTTTTTATTTGAACAATTCTTTGAATAAACTGTTGGGTTTGATTTGTCACTGTTGTCACTAATTTTTATTTTTTTAAATTTAAATTATATTTATTATAGAATACCTTCAGATAGCAGTTCTAATGCCAGTCACAGTTCTAATGCTTTATATAGATTACAATATTTAAATCTATTTAAATATTGTAATCTATTTATATAGATTACAATATTTAAATCTCAAAGTGACTCTATGAGGTAGGTGGCACAACTATTCCTAATTTTATGGGTGATGAAACTGAGGAATATGGGTTAACTAACTTAATGTTGTTATGGACATAATAATTGGTCAGATCTGAACTGAGGCAGTGTGTCTTCAGAGTTCACATTCTTAATATAAATGAAATTAACCTAGAGTTTTGGTTTTTTTTTGTACTGTACCAGGATTTGTTGTTGATGTTAATATTTCTCTAAGCTGAGTTTGAATTTTTTTCATAAGTTCAGGATGTATGTGTGTGTGTGTGTGTGTGTGTGTGTGTGTGTGAATTTAAATAAATATATTTAGTGCTCGCTTCGGCAGCACACATTAAAATTGGAACAATACAGAGAAGATTAGCATGACCGCTGCACAAGGATGACACACAAATTCACATAGCGTTCCATATTAAAAAAAAAAAAAAATATATATATATATATATATATATATATATATATACACACACACACACACACACACACACACACACACACACATTGAGTGGCCAGACTACCAGACTATTATGATCTCTGAATGTATAATAATCTGGCCACTCAGTGTATATCCTATATAATAAAAGGCTAATATGAACTCAGAGACCAGGAGTTCAACAAGCAGGCAGGTCGGCAAACCACCCTTGTCCCCTCCCCTTGGCCATGCTGGTCAGACCCCACCCATACACTAATTCATGCACCAGGCCTCTCATATATATATATATTTTTTTTTTTTTGAGTGGCCAGATTATTATGCGTTCAAAGATCATAATAATGTGGCCACTCAGTGTATATATGTATTTGTTCATATTTTCTCTCTTTTTTATTTATTTATTTGCTTTTTCCTTTGTTTCTCAGTAATTTTTGGCATTTTATAGCTTTATTAATACATATTTATATACTATAAAATTCATTTATTTAAAGCGTACCATTTCAGTATATTTACAGTGTTTTCAACCATCATTGCAATCTAATTTTAGAACATTTTCATACCCACCTGAAATATCCTATACACATTCCCCCAACTATCCATCTTTCAATCTCAATCAACCACTAATCTACTTTATACAGATTTACTTATTCTAAATATTTCATATAAATGAAGTCATACAATGTATGATCATTCATGGCTATCTCCTTTCACTGGGCATATGGAAATTTCAAGGCTCATTCTTGTTATAGCATTTATCAGTACTTTATTCCTTTTTATTGATATGTAATATGTATATATATATGTGTGTGTGTGTGTGTGTGTGTGTGTGTATGTATAATCTCCTGTATTCTGTCTATCAGTTCATTAGTTGATGAACATTTAGATTATTTCTACTTTTGGGCTATTATAAATAATGCTACTATAAACATTTCTGTACAATTTTTTATTTGAACATATGTTTTCATTTCTCTTAGTTTTACATATCTAAGAGTAGAGTTGCTAGTTCATATGGTAACTCTGTTTAGCATTTTGAAAAATTGACATACTGTTTTCCAAAATGGCTGCACCATTTTACATTCCCACTAGCCATATATTAAGGTCAAAATTTTCTACATTCTTGCCAACACTGTCTGTTGTTTTTATTATAGCCAGCCTGGTGGGTGTGAGGTAGTGTCTTACTAAGATTTTGATTTGCATTTCCCTAATGACTAATTTTGACCATCTTTTCATGCATTTATTGGCCCTTTGTACATCTTTTTTCCATTTATAAATTGGGTTGTCTTTTCATTCTTAACTTCAAAAAATGCTTTTTATATTCTGCATATAAGTCCCTTAGTAGATATAAGATTATCAAATAATTTTCCCATTCTATCATTGTCTTCACTTTTTTTTATTTTTTAACATATTTTTATTGATTTCAGAGAGGAAGGAAGAAGGGAGAGAGAGATAGAAACATCAGTGATGAAAGAGAATCATTGATCGGCTGCCTTCTGCATGCCCCTCCACTGAGGATTGAGCCCACAACCCAGACATGTGCCCTTGACTGGAATCAAACTTGGGACCCTTCAGTCAGCAGGCCAACGATCTATTTACTGAGCCAAACCAGCTAGGGCAGTCTTTACTTTTTTAATGGTGTCCTTTAATGGCATGCTTTTGGTGCTGATCTGAGAAGGCTTTGCCTAACTTGGAGTTACAAAGATTTACATGTATGTTTTCTTCTAGAAGTTTCATAGTTTTTCATAGTTTTAGCTCTAATATTTATATCATAACCAATTTTGCATTAATTTGAGGATATTGTGGAAGGCATGGGTCAAAATGCTTTCTTTTTTTTTTTTACATTTGGATAACCAAAAACAGTTATCTCTAGACCATTTGTTGAAAAGACTATTCTTTCCTCATTGAATTGTCTTGATATCCTTCTCAAAAGTCAACTGACTATAAATATAAGACTTTAGTTATGGACTCTCAGTTCTATTCCATTGATCTAGTATGTGTATCCTTAAGCAGGTACCACACTATATTGATTACTGTAACTTTGTAATAGGTATGGCATCAAGACTTTTACATCTTGCTTTTATTAATTGAGTTTATTTGGGTTCTTGCTTTTATTAATTGAGTTTATTTGGGTTATGTTGGTTAATAAAATTATATAGGTTTAAGGCATACAGTCTATAATATATCATCTGTATATTGTATAATATTATGTGTTCACCACCCAGTTATGTCTCTTCCCATCACCATTTATCTCCTCTTCACTCTCTTCTGCCTCCCACTCCATCCTCCTTTTCCTGCAAAGATGATGGAATTATGTAATGAGCAGTTTTGATGCTAATGTTACTAGCTTAATAAATGACATAAATTTCTATCTTTAACTATAGTCTTGAAGAGTTTAAAATGAACTAGAATGATCTCACTTGAAGTTAGAATCCAGTTTTAAAATCATATATTTTGGTGCCTTTTTATAATATGAATTTTTAAAGACCTTTCATTTGTTTCAATATGTGTATCTAGTTTTTATATTTCTTAACTCAGTTTTGGTGTTCTGTATATTTTTTTAGGAAAGCTTCCTATTTCCTCTATACAAGATTTCCAAGATACTGGATTTGGTATCACAGGATTGTAGATAATTCTCTTGCTATTTAAATCTCTTCTATTTTTTATATAGTACTATTTCATCTATATTATGACATATATTTATTTTCCCTCTTTTTCCTTATTCAGTCTTTACTGGGTTTTATTGATTTTGTCTTTTGATAATAAGTTTTTTATTTTATTTATCCTTCTAATTTGTTAAACTTTTCATTCCTGTTTACTTTTTATACTCTTTATTCTCCTTGTTCTAATTTTTACAAGTTAATTAACTCACCTTAGCCTTTTTTAATAATGAAATTGTAAGGGTACACATTTACTGTGACTGTAATTCCAATTATGTCTCATAGTTTTGAGAAGAATCAAATGTTCACTTTTTCCCTATATAGTTTGTTTCTGTTTTTATTTTTATTTTTTGAGCTAGGGTAATTTGAATTCCATATTTTAAAATCTATTATTGTTTTCTTTCTTGCCAAGTAAATAATCCTATTTGAAGGGTTTCATTGACTAAATAAACAAATTACTGTCTCTGTTCACAGAGCATGAGGTTCAGTACATAGCCATTGAATTCAGTTTTCACATTATTCAAGTATCCTATATCTAAGCTCTTGTCATAGTTGCATTTTTATAATTTTCTCATTTCTAAAAATGTCTTGCTTTATACATTTTTGCTCTAGTCTTTATTATATAGATAGATGTTTATGATTATTATCTCTTTGTGGGCTATTCCTATACATTCTATCATTATTCCTCTTTGGACTGCTTAAAGGTTCATATATTTAATTTTTCTGGTACATTTATCAGTACGTACTACTATCTGGTTTGTTCTACTGCTGTAGCAAAATACCAGACTGGGTGGCTTATTTTTTAAAAATATATTTTATTGATTTTTTTTTACAGAGAGGAAGAGAGAGGGATAGAGAGTTAGAAACATCAGTGAGAGAGAATCATCGATCAGCTGTCTCTTGCACACCCCCTAATGGGGATGTGCCCGCAATTAAGGTACATGCCCCTAACCAGAATCGAACTTGGGACCTTTCAGTCTACAGGCCAAGGCTCTATCCATTGAGCCAAACCAGTTTTAGCTGGGTAGCTTATAAGCAACAAAATTTTCACAGTTTTGGAGACTGGGAAGACCCAGATCAAAGCATCAGTGTAGTAATATTGTTTCATAGCCAGCACCTTCTTATTGTGTCCTCAGAAGGTGGAAGAGGCTAAAGGATCTCTGTGAGGGCTGTAAGAACACTAAAACCATTCCTGAGTCCTCCACTTGCATGACCTAAGCAACTTCCAAAGGCCCTACCTCCTAATCCCATCATCTTTGCAGATTAAGATTTTAGCATGAATTTTTGGGTGATACAAACATTCTGATACACTTCTTAGTGAATATTATCATATGGTAGAAAGTATAGTGGCAGGAAATTAGTTTGAGAAGGGAAAGAATTATACCAGATCTTGTACAGGTTGTAGTTCAACTCATTAAAATATATGGGAATAGTTAGAGGTCAGTTTGGGAAAAGAGAAATAAATGGAACAATAGTAATTTCTAACATTTTACTATTAGTCAAAAAAGTAAGTGGTTCACAAAGCATACTAAGAAGGAATCATCAAAAAGATAAGAGGAATAACCAAGAGACTGTGTTACCTTAGAAGTTAGAATAGAATAAAGTTCCATTAAGGGAGTGCTTCACAGTGTCAAATGCTTCAGTGAAGTAAAATAAAATCAAAGTGTCCGTTTGATTTGTCAATTAGGAGAGCAATGGTATTATAGCTTTGTCTTTGCAGTGTTAGTCAAGGTGTTTTTTTTGTTGTTGTTGTTGTGATGGTAGCCTTGAATCTAGTAAACTTCAGACTAAATGGAAAGTTTTAAAGTAGAAAAATGTAGATTTAAAAAAATACTTTTTTTATTGATTTTTAGAGAGAAGGAGAGGGAGAGAGAAACATTGATGTGAAGGCAAACATCAGTCAGCTGTCTCCCGCATGCTCCCTATGGAGGGTCAAGCCCACAACCCAGGCTTGTGCCCCGTCCAGGAATCAAACTGGCAACCTTTCAGTGCACAGGACGATGCCCAACCAACTGAGCCACACTGACCAGGGCATGTAGGTTATTGTTTGAGGAGCTTAGTTACGAAGCAACCGTTGGTGCAAAGGGTTAGGTTATAATGTGAATGTAACATTGAGGATGACTTATTTTAGAGAATGGAGATTATAGCAAACACTTTCTCAACCATTCTTTTTCAAATTAAATTTATTGGGGTGACATTGGTTAATTATATAGGTTTCAAGTATAACAGTTCTGTGATGCATCATCTATATATTGCATTATTTGCCCACCACACAGAGTCAAATCCTCCATCGGCCATTTTCATTTTATAAGAAAGCTTATGTGTGGCCATCT